CAAAGGAAGTGGCAGGTCGGCGGTGTTCTCGACAACAGCGGCTAATGGTGATTAACTGGACGGGGTCCGCGCGGCGCTGCCTCCGACCCGGCGGGGACGCTGCGGCACGCGCCTTCCGAAAACGCCCACTCCCGGCGCCGCGGCCGGCTCTGACCCGGAGTCCGAGAAGATGACTCGTCCGCGGCCGGGCTACGCGGGGGCTCCGGCAAGACGCACAGCCCGAGGAGGCCCCGGGACGGCCTTCGGAGGGCTCTGTCCGTGCGCGCGCCGTGAGGGAGCCAAGCCGGGACCTCGGGGCAGCATCGTTAAGCCGCTTCGTGTTTACCGAGCTTAGTTACTACTTTTTGGACAAATTCCCACAGAGGTTGTTGTGAGCCGTGGAAGGAGCAGCAAAGCGGAAAGGGTGCCCCCCGCCCCCGGGCCCAGGGTCAGGCTCCTGGATCTCAGGGCCGTCGTCACACCTGCCAGCATGGAGCAGGGAGGGAAGAGGGACAACACCTGGGGTGGCCCCGGGCTTGGGGGTGGGGGGGGAGCTTCGTCCCTTCTCTCGATGGAGGACTGAGGCCTGGGCCTCCTCTGTCTGGGGTACCCTTGTGTCCCAATGGCATTAGCCGGGAGACCTGCTGGGTCTCAGGGGCCGCTTAGCCACTGGGCACACAGGCCGACGTTGTCCATCCTTCTCTGTATACCAAAGGTAAAAGGGGGGTCCGGGCCCAGGGCCTCGAGGCCGGTGGCCCGGTCCGGGCAGGCAGGAGAGAGCATGCCCAGAGCCTTCTACCAGAACAGCCAGCACCTGTGTAAGGAGCTCCTCCTCCACATGGGGTCGGCCTGCCAGAGGCCATCAGAGGCGTCCGTCAAGGTCTGCCAACACCATGTAGAGGGGGGGCTGTCCGAGGCGGGAACAAAGCCGGCCTCCACGAGGCTGCAGCCTTCGGACCCAGCTCCGGCCTCCACCGGGCTGCAGGGAGCCGGTGCGGTGCGTGGGGCCTCCTGCCCTCCTCCCTCTCCCCCTGCGCCCTCCCTCTGCCACTGTCTCCCCTCCCCCAGCAGGGCCGCCTGGCAGGCCATTGTAATAACTCATGCAAATGTGAGGGCCCGCGAGACAAAGAGAGGTCAGGCCAGCGGCTCAGGGATTCCTGTCGACAAACAATATTAGATGTAAAATGTGTACCTTTGACAAAAGTATTAATATAGTGCTTTTGATTTTTTTTTTCCTGATGAAAAGTGAAAAGTAGTAATTGTGGAGTGACAGAGGAAAATGAAGTTTTGAACCAAAAGGCAAAGTTCGCGGATGAAAAAACCCAACCCAATTAGCTGCTTATGAGGAATCGAAATGCAAGGCATTTGCTCTTCCATCCCCTCGACAACCTTCTGATTGACTCTGCTTAGATCTGTACAGCAACGCAGATAAATCGACATGCCACATGCGCGCACTGCTTAATCATTTGTAATAGTCATATTTGCCCTGACATATAATTTGCTATATCAAGCCAGTTTTTTTTTTTTCCTGGCTCACCCGTATTCTGTGGCTTGGCCTTTGCTTTATAAAACATTTAATAGTTTGCTTTAAACACATCAACATGCTGATGTACGATTGCCCTTTGCGTGCCGCCCGGAGCAGCGGGCCTCCTCTCGTCCTGCTGCGACGGCACGACCCTTGGCGGGCGGAGTGGTTGGAGCCGGGCCCGGGGCTCTAAGGGGTGCATTCTCTGTCTTGTGCGAGCAGCCACTCCGTGCATCAAGGCCATCAGCCCCAGTGAAGGCTGGACCACGGGGGGAGCCACCGTGATCATAATCGGAGACAACTTCTTTGACGGCCTGCAAGTCGTGTTCGGAACCATGTTGGTGTGGAGCGAGGTAAGCCTGTGCACCCGGGCCACATCCGGCCGGAGCTGTCCCACGAGCTGTTCAGCCAGCTGTCTGTGGCAGGGTGTGGTGCGTGGACACTGGGCACCCTGTCGCGCACGCCCCCGGAACTTGAGAGTTCTCCGGTGGCCGGGGCTTCTCTGGTGGGTGGGCATGGAGCCCCACCCCCCCACCCCGACCCTGGGGTCTCAGATCTGCCATAGGAGGTCCCCCGTGTGCTGGGACAATTAGTGCTAGAATTACTAGAAGCAGGTTTAAGGAGACATATGGTGGCAATTTTCATATGAATGATGCCCTGTGGCCTTTCCTGCAAAGTAAAACCCGGGATGGTTTGCAGATACTTTTCTTAAAGAACACTGTCGGCCCGGTCTCTGGGTGACAGCTAAGAGGTAGCATTCCGGGCTGATGGTCCAATTTGTGCTCATTTTGGTAATTGTATCCCCCCGACAAGTGCCTGCCCTCCCTGGCCAGTGCCTCTGAAAGCCTGTTCACGTGTGGTTTTTGTAGCTCATCACTCCCCACGCCATCCGGGTGCAGACCCCGCCACGGCACATTCCTGGAGTCGTTGAAGTCACCCTGTCCTACAAGTCCAAGCAGTTCTGTAAAGGTGCTCCTGGGCGGTTTGTCTACACTGGTGAGTTCATGCTTCTGACTTTGGTGGCCAGGTTGGGGGAGGGGGTGCCTCCTTCCAGTGCAGTCTGCACAGGTGGGGTTCCCGTGCAGACAGGCCAAGCCCCCTTGGCCCGAGGGTTGGGTCAGTGGGGTGCAGGGTTTCCACATTCTCGCCTGAGCTGGCGATGCTGAGGACAGGTGCAGCCCCCACAGGCCGTGAGCTCCGGGGCCTGTCCCTGCACCTGTGGCCCGCTGCCTTCGGGCCTCGGAGTGAGGCGGCTGGCTTGTCAGTAAGTCAGCCCCAGCCTCCCCTGGGCAGCTGCCCATGTGCCTGGCCCGTGCTCTCGCCGCGTGGCTGCCCACAGTGCCGCCGCTCACTTGCACACGCAGGGACTCAGAGACGACTCACCAGGCATGTGCCCAAGGCCACACGTGCTATCATGGACGGGCCGCTGGTGAAGCCAGGTGTCTGTCCGGGCCCTCTGCTGTTTCTAAGGGAGGACCCGTTTTCTGCGAGGGCCTCAAACTTGAGTCACCAGAAAGGGTCACCTCTTAAATGGCATGTTTGTTATCCCAGGGGGTCCTATATGGTGCTCTGCCCACGCGGACGCTCAGTTAACACGATCCGTCCCATGTGGCTGTTGGGAAATGCCATTGATAAACTCAAAGCGTCTTTGCATTTGGGTCTCCAGTCTGAGCCAGCTGCGAAAGCTCTGGAGAAGCGTTCGTACGGACGGGCAGGCCCTGCTACACCCCACGTGGGGGATGGGGCGGGCGCTTGTTCTTTCCTGTTGTGGCCTCAATGTGTTTGCGTGGTGAGAGGGGCAGGAGGGGGACGTCCATGCCCGGAGCCTGGGCTTGGGTTGTACGCTGTCGCCAGTGACTACAGGAGGTCCTGGAGCGGGTCTGGCCTCCCGCAGGGACGCGGGCCTCTCCGTCCATCAGACAGACGGCTGCGGGGCTGCAGCCGTGCCTTCCACTTAAGAGTTTGAGGAGGGAGGGGTTACCCACTGCCCCTTGTAGGAAGCGTGGAGTGGGTAGAAAATGGCAGAATGTAAACTCCTCCACACCACTTCCCGCAGGCCCAGCGTCAGCTCTGGGGGTGGCTGGATGCGGGTCCTTTTGGAGAGCCGTGGCTGTTGTCCCCAGAGGCGGCCAGACCCACAGCTGTCTGCCTGCCTCGGTGGGGGCAGTTTCCTCCTCTGTCGTCCCAAAACCCTGCACCCTGCCAAGTGGTCAAGGTGGGGGAGGGGTGCCCATACTGCGGTCCACTTTCTCCTGTGGGACCAGTACATGCTCCCAGGAGCCCAGAACTGTGCAGGAACCAAGGGAAGTCCCCATAGTGATAGAGCTCTGGGTGGCCGTCCCTGGGCCTGTCCTGCAGTCCGGATGCTCTTGGCTTCCTGGCAAAACCCAGACATTGAGAAGGGCGGCTCTTCTAGTTTGCAAGGCCCCCAGTCTGTCCCATGCGTAATGGGGTTCTGAAACATGGGCATCTAGTGAGCCCCAATATGACTCCAACAAGCGAGCCCCGTGGGGCCAGTGCAGTATGGGGCCGGTGTCTGGGAGGAGCCGCCAGAGTCCCATCCTGTGCCCGCTGGGGCCTCCCGCACCTGCTGTGGGCCCAGCCTTGTGTGTGAGCTGTTGTCATGCCCCTGCACCCTCTCCACACCCCACGCAGTGCTTCCTGTTGGGGGGTACGACAGCCCCGTGGGCCTCTGGCTTGTGAGCTGCGCCCTGGGAGCCTCTGCTCTGCCCAGTGTTGGCCTGAGGACCTGGACCCTGGGCCTCCTGACCCCACTGCATCCCACCCACTCCTTGGCCTCCCCCCATGGGTTTTGTGGGAGTCAGGGAGAACTTAGGGATGCATCTGCCCTGGGGGGCATGCGGTGAGTGGTACCTTTTGTGTCAGGGTAACGGCCACCGGGGTCCCCAGTCCTTCCAAGGAGGAGACATTTGCTATCCGCTCATGAGCCATGTGATGTGTGGGCTCCCATGTCTGCCACAGGACCTAGCGTCCTGGTTGGTTTAGGGCACTACACTGAGCATGGCTGAAAGTGGCCAGACAGCCCAGCCTGCTAATGGCTGCGGGGCGGGCTGAGCTGTGGGAACCAGCGCAGGAGGGACTGAGCGAGGGAGGGCGGGTTTCACGTGAGCGGGGCCTGGCATTGCCGGGGTCAGGGCTGGCTGGGTGTTGGGGTGGCTCTCCGTGCGGGATGCCAGCACCCCGGGGGCTCCCCTCCTCCCTGCTTGGGGTGAGGGCCTGCTGAGCCCGTCAGCCTGAAGCTGTCTTCCGTTTCTGCTGTGGACCCCAAGACTGGGCTTCTGGGGACACTGGTCTGGGGCCCCTGCTGCCCAAGGCGTTGGGGATTTCCTCTGTCAAGAGTTCTCCCACAAATGGGCGTTTCAATGAAGCCGTTCAGTGAGCTCAGCCTTTCCTAGCGGGAGGCTAATTTATTGCCTCCCCCCACACCCCAATCATTAACGGGAATATACATTTCAAACGCTGTGTAAGGGATATGGGGCCCGTACACTCTCAGGGAGCAGAGGAAAGGTGGGGTCATAACCTGTCTGACCTGGAAGCTTCTGTCTGATTTGCATTGCCCTGAAATTGACGGGGACAATGAAGCAATCACGGGGAATTGCACTGCCCCCACTGAAAACTGAGCCAGCCCTTCTGGACGTCAGGACCCCGCGCGGGCAGCCCCTTCAGGGAGGGCGCTGTCCCCTGGGCATCTGGCTCCCATCAGCCCCGGAGGCTGCCGGGACACCCTTGCAGGGAACCTTCCCGGGCAAGGGCAGGCGGAGGCGGCCAGGACTGGGATAATGGACCTGTGCGCAGAGGAGGCGCCCCGCCCGCCCGCCAGAGGCAAAAGGCCTAAATGATCTGTTTACAGTGATCTGAGAAACACCAGATTTTTCAGAACCAGACCCGATTAGTCAACCCAGAGTGGGTGCGGGCACTCTCTGCTGCCCCCGCCCTGGGAAGGGGAGGTCGGCCGAGCAGATCCATCCAGACCCTTCTGCCGTTGCTTTCAACTACTATAAAGGCACAATTACCTTGGGAGGCAGTGGCAGTTCACTTGATTAGCACGGTGAATTAAAAGAATGAGTCACAAATGACATGTCCGGCTCTTCCATACTAGTCCTTTGTATTCCCAGAGTGCCTCACCCCTGTTGTAAGAAGGTCAAAAATTAGAGAGAGAGAACAATTTTCAAGCGGCTAGCACTTAGGAGCAGAATTAACAATCACTCTGTATGTAATTGCCAGTTAATAGTAAATTGCCTTTTAGACTGTAAAATGCGATATAAACGGGTGGGCACCTAAAATTAAATTAATGAGATATTTGCTACATTTCAAAGTGAATAGTGCAAATTAATAACTGAGCACAATGCTTGTTTTAATATTTGTCTAAGAGTGTATCATTTGCTTGTTTGATAATAATTAAAATAGCCCTGGCAAGTCGTCCTACCTGAGAAACTCATGGTAAAGGGCAAACTGGACAGGTTCACGTGTACAACTTCACCAGGAGAAACACATCAAACTGTTAAGAGCAATGAAAGAAATTATTTTTTAATTAGAATATAGGCATCGCCGTGTTACTCGATTAAGACAAATTGGAAACTGTGTGCTTCTAATTGGAATTCTGTGAGAACGAGAACAAGTTAACAGACACGTTTCCAGGTGGGAGGCGTCCCCGCACCAGTGTGGGTATCACTGTTTTCTCCCAGTGTCCACACGGCAGAAGGCTCTCCTGTCCCACGAAGAGCCGGGGCGGGTTGGCGGTGGCTCGCCTTCCAGCATCATTCCACAGGATCCCAGGGTGCAGCTGGGGCGGGGGGTGCTCCCAGCTGACCCCCTGCACCTGAATGCTTGGCTGGCCTCACCTGAGAGGTCTCTTCTGCTCGTTTAAAGAAATGCTCACAAAGTACCGGGAGTCAACATGTTGCCTGCCAACGGCCAAACCGCTCCTAACCAAGGCATCGGCAGTTGGCGTGTGCAGCCGCGGCTCGACTCCGTGCGTCTGCTCCGCGTTTCCTTGACGGGGACGTGAAAGCGATGGTTTTCTGCGTGAAGACGTGCGTTCAGTTTCCGGCTTGTGACATCATTACTCAGCCAGTAATGGCTAACAGTCTGTGTTCTTTCTGATACAGTGTTTCTGTGTGTGTGCTTTCTTTTTTAAGTTAGATGGTACCTTAAGTGGGCGACTGTCGAAGTGGGGACGGTGCTGTCCTCAGGTGCTGTCCTGGCGCTGGCGGGGAGGGAGGGGGAGTGTCTCCTCGCCGAGGGCCTCCGGTCACCTCTGGCGGGCTTCTCCCGTTCACCCCGCCTCCCGGCACCCCCTTGAAAGGCACTCATGTCTCTGAAGTGTCTTAAAGATCGTTTGTGTGCATTTGGAGCTGGTTCTGTCAACGGCACGGTGACACGCTGCACAGTCAGTAACGCCTTCGACCGCAGCCAGCACCCCCTGGCCGTCCCCCAGGCCGGCGCTCTGCGCACAGACTCCCTGTACCCACAGCCCAAGTGGTTTCAAATCGCGCCGCACAGATCGTACTATTTTTATGGTGCCTGCCCTAAGTGCTCCTGCTTTTTCTTCTATGTGAGCCCCTGATTACCGGAGTTACAGATTTTTGACCACGTCTGTGGGTCTGGTGGAGAGACAAATGCTGTAATTACAGGCCCTGGGGCTTGGGGAGGCTTCTGGCCCGTCGAGTGGCCTGCCCAGGCCGGTGGGGTCTTGTGCGTCTTGGCTGGTCCCCGTCTGTTCCCCTCCGTGAGCGCCCTGAGTGGGTGTCACGGTTCCTCCTCAGCGGTCGGAGGGGAATCGTGGGTGGCGGTGGCCCTGGTGGAACGGCCTTTGGCTTTCTGTGAGGAGCGGCATGTGGGGCTGTGTGTGCAGCTCAGGGTGTGTGCAGACCTGTCCGGAGCTGGGGAGCGGGGACAGCCGCCTCACCCGACCTCACCCAGCCCACCGTGGCGTCCGTCGTTCGTTCACCTGTTGGTGGGAGACGGCAGACTGT